TATTTTATATATAAATATATATTTTTTTTTCTCTCTGTTTAAAGGTCTCATCCTGAGGTTTCCTATCTGGGGCGATCCTGCTGATGACAACTGCTTTGAGGATGAAGTGTACTGGGAGGTGAGAGTGATTTCTACCACTAGATGGTGTCATGTCGCCACATAACTAGAGGGGAAATTAAGTCAGCTGTTTCAAGTTAAATCCTGCTCTCGGAAAACATTCTGAAATCACTGACTCTCTGCCTCACGATCTGATCCTGCGTGTTTTTGTTTCAGGTCCCTGAGGATGAGGAGTCCATCCCGCCTGTTTTGGAGTACAACAACCACATGATACACAAGCACCAAGACATGTAAGCTCACTCACACATGCACGTCCTCCTGCATCCTCACTTTCATGCACCCTCACTTTCATTTATTAATCTATTAATTTGTTGTCCTTATTTCTTTCAACAGATCTGAGTCAAACTTCTCTGTGGAGCAAAGTTAGAGCTGCACAACAGGAGACCGACCCTCTCATGTCACCTTGAACTTGATATAACTGTGAAACAACACAAAGAAATGGAGGAAGACAATCTGTAAGACATGACACATTTTATTACATGGAGGTCAATCTGTCTCACACACATTTATTGGGAAACTTAAAGTTATAACCAAGCTGCATAAAACAGTGACCAAAAAAATACAGAAAAAAAATCTGATGAGCCAGTATTGCTCTAAAAACACAAACTGGAATTACTTTCTAATTTATTTCAAAAGAAGCTTTATATACACTGACTCAATGCAGTGTGATGAGAAGACAATGTGTTTCTAAGTTATAATGTATCGAAGAACTGAGAGATACTGTTAATGAGTTTGGAAACACTGTACTGTCTACATTAGAGTTAATCCTTCCTATAAAGGACTAAACAACACTCAGAAGTCCCACCTTTTAATTGCAAATGTTACCATTTATAATGATTGCAAATGTATTTCTTTGAAAATATTTTGCATAAAAAGCCTTTAGAAATCATATACTTATGCCGCTAAACTAAGCTGTCTTTGAACTCTGCTACCTATTTCTTTCAAACTATATGTATAGATCTTTGTAAGTTGTATATACAAATCTATTCTGCTTTTTGTTTGTTGCATAAATGACTTGTGAGTAACTGTAGTAACTTTAATACATTGTTAGCAGTTTGCTTGGTGTAGTGTTGAAGGTGACTTCTGATACACTATATGTGATTGTGTTTTACAATCTGCTTGTTGTATTATTCTGTATTGTATGTTTAGAGTAGCTGATAAACTCAAATAAAGTATAAAGTTATATTGTCCTTACTCTCATGTTCTTGTTCTCATTTTTAAAGACACATGATGAAAATATAATAATCTACAGCAATTCAGCATATTACAGGGCTAACATAAGCTGCTCCCAGACATTCGTTCAGTCATGCACTGAACTCCAGACATTCTGTGGTGGGGCTGTATGTGTGAACGTAAATGTCTAAGTGAGAGCCTCCGGACTTTCTGCTGACTTTCTCCGACTGGCCCTCTAAAGTCTGCAGAAAGTCCAGAGGAGCTGATGCGAGAAAATCCTGGAGATTCACTGTGAGTGAGTGGGCATGTTGATAAAGTTTATAACAGGTGACGGATACGAAACAAAAACAGAAAAAGATAAATATATTTTTGGATGAAAAAATGGAGTCATACATGTCACAATGATGTCATAGTTAAATCATTCAGAGAGGGTGGAGCTGAAACTTTGTCAGAAGCAGCATACCTGAATGCTTTTACTGCCTTGTCACACACTTGTGTCAGTCTTATATTAATCCATAATAAGAACTATTACTATATTTAAAAAAACAATGTTGACCTACAGATTAAATCTTTTTTATAAGGTGGCCGAAGATTAGAAGACACTCAAATATCATATGCCTTCAATCACGAAGATATTTATTTTGGTTTTGGATTGTGATTCTATTATAGTGCAAATAAAGTTTAGCCAAAACAGATGAAGTTAGAAATTCCCTCAATATAGTCTCTGAGCTGCTCATTAAAATTATTGCTTTCTAATTTTCAAACGCTGTGTAGATGTTTTCCAACGCACATAAAAATAATGTGTCAATATTCCAGTGTCTCTGTTAGATGTTTACACAGTGAGACATGGTGTTGGGTTTATTAACAATGACATAAACAGATGCTGCTATTTGAGCCACACCATCGTAATGATATTGCAATGAAATCATGAGGAAAGATTCCAGTTATATCAAAATGCAAAACAGCATAAATCTGTAAAGTCACTTTACATCCTCCAGCAAATTTAATCTAAATCGGGCTTCTCAGGAAACTTGGAGCACTGGTTGATTTGTAGCCTCCAGTAAGAGACAAATAGTTAATATACCTAAGTGTCATGAGTTTTAAACAGTAAAGGCTCAATAATGTTAGTTGGCTCCAGTTTTTGTTTCCCCTGCGAAGACAGACACATGATGGAGCTTGACTCAAGTCCAATCTTTTTTTTTGATGAATGTTTTCTTGTTGTTTTTATTCCTACGGTGCACAGACACTATCACTGTAACAGAGATGTTGATGATGTTAAATCTGTGTGTAGACAGGTCTTGCTGGGGCCTGATGCCGGACGAATGTGGACGTGGCTCCTCTTGTGAATCATAAGACCCTGGGGAGAGTGTTTGTGAAACCACTTGGTCTGCCATTGTCCTCCTGGGACTGGCCTCCTCTGAAAAGCTGCAGAAAGCCTGTAATCAGATTAAAGGTTGCTGGGAAGGGGAGGAGGGATTTTTTTGAGGAATAGCAAAGAGGTTGTGGAAGTTCTCCAATCAGTACCTGCCATTGAAGTGCAGAAGAGGGGCTAAATAACGCAGCAGGAGGGGAGGCGGGAGCCAAGCTGGAGGGACAAATTGGCCAGTTGTTGGAGGATAATGGGACAATGAGGGAGGGGACTATAATTAGTGTGTATAGAGTGGGAGAGAATAGGTGCAATGGGAAAAAGAGGAGACTGAAGAACTCCAAAGGCAGCGGCCTTGTCCCATCCTGCCCTGGCAATTATATCACCTTTGTGAGCTGATTGGAGCAGGCTACAGAGTCCATCTGGGCCAATAGATAGATGCAAAAACCTGCATTTTCTCACTGTCCTCACCAAGTGGTCTCACCAGGACATTGAATGAGATATCAGGGGCTCTTGTTGTCTCAATAAGACTCGTCAGTAAAAAGAACCACATGACGATGACAATCCATCAGTCTGTGTTCACATTTTCTCTCTTTGTCTCTGACTATTTCATTATTTTTTAATTTGAAAAAGAAAAACACAAGGCTGAAGATGCTTATTGTTATGCAAAGGGTAAAAAAGCAGTTTTCAGTTATCTCTCAACACTTATGTTGAGGACTCACCCCATAATTTAACCTCACAGACGTCCTCATGGTCCTGGGCTTGTAATGCTGATGTCATATCACAGGACGTCCCGCTGAGCTCTGAGCTGCACCAGTCTCCCTGTAGGATCCTTTCTGTCATTGTGATCACTCATCAAACATCAATTGGCCAAACACCAGGCATCACTAAAGGCCAGTCACTTTTCTTTATTCATTCGACAAGAGTCCATTTGTTGGGGTCAAAGGGGAGTCTCAGGGGAGAAGACCTCTCAGCCGGCCACTGCTGAGGAGGAGAAGCAAAGAAATCACTATTCATAGCAGGGGAGAGCTTTGATTCAGCCACAAAGGCCTCAGTTTAACCAGAGCTGCTTTAAAACATGTGAGAGGGGAAGAAACTGAATGGTTGGTTAATGTAGTGCTCCACCTGCTGCTAATTAGAGCACAAGAGAAAGAATTTGATCACCATTGTGATTATTGCTTAGTCTATTGATTATCGTACATTTTGAACATACATCTGTGCGCCAATAAAAAATTCCTCCTGGAAGCCTGTTTTATAAAAACACAAAGAGAAAAGTGGAGAAGAAATTGTCGTGCTCCTTGTTGAAGTTTGAGTCCCTTATGCTTGGTTTCTGTTGTGTTATCATTCGATTGGATAAAGCAAGTTTCATTTCACTTCAATGACACAACAACAATTCCCAGATCAACATCTAAACTATACTTTACAACAGACAGTGCCTGCGCAACACAAGAATTAAAACATTCCTCTGTTTATGTTGTACATGTCTTTTTGATTTAAAGGTTCTGCAGGTTTAGGTGTAAAAGAAATATCAAAATATCTCTGCGGCCGTGGAGGCTCCTCTGGCCTTGACGCACACGGCCAGAGGTTGACTCAAAGTCTAACAGTTAGGAGAGCTGGAGGCAGAGGCAGCGGGATTCAGCATTGGACCGGGACACTGTGACACCATGGATGGTCTCCTTGATGCCACCAGATGATCCGATGGTCCCCCCCCCCTTGTCTCTCTCTCCCTCCCCTGTCTCTCTCTCTCTCTCCCCTGTCTCTCTCTCCCTCCCCTGTCTCTCTCTCTCTCCCCTGTCTCTCTCTCC